TCTACTATGGAGGCTTTGGTGAGAATTTCTAACGACATAGAAAAGGGACTAAAAATGGGAGAATTGATAATAGCAGTATTCTTTGACATAGAAAAAGCGTATGACTCAATGTGAAAGGAAAGTTTATTGATTAAATTAGAAAATAAGGGAATAGCTGGCAGAATGTATAACTAGATAGCAAGTTTCTCTACAGATAGGAAAATTAGAGCTAAAGTTGAGGATGAATACTCGAGAGATTTTAAAGTAGAAAACGGCATTCCTCAAGGAAGTGTAATTAGTCCTATACATTTTAACATTATGATTAATGATATGTTCTTAAATCTAGATGAATGCATTAAATCAGCACTTTATGCAGATGATGGAGCCATATGGTCGAGGGGAAGGAATGTCTCATATGTAGTTCAAAATATTAAGAGAGAAGTTAATAAAATAGAACAATGGTCATATGAATGGGGATTCAAATTGTTAGTTAGTAAATCCTGTTATATGATTTTCAGTAATAAAAGAAATATTTATATAGGAGAAGTAAAATTATATGATTAATCTATTAAAGAGTGGCAGAATTCAAATATTTAGGATTATGGTTAGATAGTTCATATCCATGGAAATGCATACTAAGCAGTTAGAAACAAAAGGTAACAAAGTAATAAACCTCATAAAAGCTGTGGCTGGGAATGATTGGGCGGCTGACAACCAGTCACTATTGAATATCTACAGGGCAGATCAGCAATAGATTATGGATGTATGGTATATGGAGCAGCAACAAAATCATTGTTACAAATAGCAGATAAATTGCAATATAGGGTATATATAGCGTATAGCTACTGGAGCGACTAAAACTACCCCCATTAATGCTCTTTTAATAGAGGCTGTAGAAACACCTTTAAAAATGAGACAGGTCAAAATATCACTTTCATATTGGATCAGAATTAAAAGCAGTAGTGAAGAAAACCCAGTAGCAAGCATTATTAAGACCTGTTGGGAATATTCCAAATTTACAAGGAAGGGCTTTGGCTGGACTAGGAATGAATGGGCAAAAATATATAAGTAGGAGGATAAGAAATTCTCTAAAAATAACCCAGTGCTGTACCACCATGGTTGTTTCCAGAAACAAAAGTTGACTTGAAAATACATGAAAAGAAAAGAGAATGGAAAAATAAAGAAGTTGGGATTAAAACTAGCTTATACATTAGACAACTATATTATAGTTATTAAAAAATTTACACAGATGGTTCAAAAAATTCAAAGGGAAACGTGGGAATAGGGATATTTATTCCAGAGTTTAATATGTGTAAAAGATTAACAGACCTTTTATCTATATACACAGCAGAAATTGTAGCAATTATTATTAGTTTACAGTGTGGAGGAGGTTAGACCAGACAGGGTGGTGATTTGCACAGATTGTAAAGCTGCAATAGAAAGCATTCATTCTGGAGTAAATAATAAGAAAGGCCTCGTACTAGAAATTCATCTGAGTTTGTTTAGATTATTTAGGTATGGAACAGATGTTCAGTTCTGTTGGGTTCCAGCCCATGGAGGGGGGAGTGGAAATGAAATAGGAGATAAGATAGATAAAAAGGCTTTAGGAAAGCAGAATATAGATCAGATTCCATTTGGGAAAGGGGAAGGTAAATCAATCATTAAAGGGAAAGAAACAGAATTATGGCAAAAAAAAAAAAAATATGGGATGAAGATGAGAAAGGAAGAAGATTATACAGGGTTCAAAATCTGTAATTGTTAAAAGTTATGGAGAAAGAAGCAGAAGGGAAGAGATCATTTATACTAGATTAACAACTGGACATACCTACTGGAATGAGTTTTTGTTTGTACTGGGGATGACAAATAATGATTTATGTGAGGGTTGTGAAAGAAAAGAAAATGTAGATCATATTTTGATTGATTGCATTAAATATGCACCTGAAAGAGAGAGGATGAGGAAAGTAATTATGGAAAAAAGGGAGAGAATGGAGTATTAAAGTGATTTTAGGCACAGATGGAGATAGTGAGGAACATTTGGTTATTAATAAAGCATTTTTTTTTTTTAAATAACACAAAAATAAAAAATAGAATATAGTCGGTGGAACTATAGAGCTACACACTCATGTACACTAGATGTAATGTATTTATGTGGGTTCCAGCACATATTGGAGTAGAAGGAAAGATAAAATGGCAAAGAGGGGAATTTAAAATCCTATTAGTTTTACAGTTAAAACAAGTAAATCGGAGGGAAAGAGTATTATTAATGAAAAAATTGATGGAAAAATGGAAACAACAAAAAAAAAAGCTGGGATGAAGAAAAAACAGGGAGGTGGTTTTATGAAATTTAGTAGTAGGAAAAAGAAGAAATGGCAGATGAAATAGAAAGGAGGAGAGAGGGATAACAAGGTTAAGATTTGGGCAAACAGGACTTAATTATATACTTTTTTAGAACATGTTATACTGGAATGTCATAAACATGAAAGCCAGAGAAGACATATGAGGAGAGAGTTTGAATGTATTAAGGAAAAGATGAATTTATTAGA